TCAGCTGCGCTGACAGTTAATTATGACTAGCTTTATATCTATTTTATTAATACTAGTGATTATTGCTGTAAAATTTCATTGAAGCACCTGAGGGAATGTTGTATAGCGTCATCTCTGAGGCAACTGTAATATGTCTGAAAACATAACGAAACTGAACTAAAAAATTGCCGAAATTCAAAGGAACATATCCAGGAGACTTTGAATCAATAGCTTTTATATTTTGCTGTTTCTTTGGTAAGTTTTGATATTCATTCAGGAACTCAAATTCACAGAAAAACTTTTCCTGAGTAAGGACCATCTAAAACCCTGGCAATAGCTAGGGGATTTCTCCCAGGTGCAATCTGGGCAAAAACTGGCTAGCTGTAAGCATTGCTCTTGCAATGTAGTGCCAGTAACATAATTAGCAAGCTTGGAGTGTTTCCCCTTTACTTTGACAAGGCATTGAGTTAGCTACCATGGTTTCATCTGTCTGTACTGTGGTCATGCTTTTTTGACTTTGTCTTGAAGAGTACAAAATTCAACCCCTTATTATGTTGAGTGAATAACAGGGAATAGTGTATTTTGCTGGGAGATGCTTTATCTGTGTGTGCTGGATGGATCACATAACATGTGAAATACCATTTAAAAAACTGAAATGAATAGTTATGTATTCATGCATGACTTGGACAGCTCATCTCAGAAGTCCAGACATTCAGTTTGTTCAGTTAAAAACCATGCAGTGATCTTCTCACAGAACTGGTAAGAAAGATCAGGAATTAAAATAGCAGTGCTGACTCCTAAAATCATATAGCTGCTGCTAAGTTTCTCCTGATCTCTGCTAGACAGACTTAACTTGGGGGGGGGGGGAGGAGGAGGCAGGTAATTGAAAAATCAGTGATTCTTTAAAGTTATGGACCCTCCAGTGTTTCTTGCAGTGGGAGTGTGGACCCATCTAAGATTTCCTCAAGTGTGCATATGCACATGTTTCTTAGCCACCTCTGGGTTATCAGTTGTCCAAGTAGCGCCATGGATTGGCTAAGCATTAGCTTAATGCTGTGAAAAATCACACAGAAAGCTAGGGCTAGCGTCAGAGGAGTTGTAGCATATAGAGACTAGGTAAAACAAATTGGGGTCTGTGCTATGTTGGCTTATGGCTAAGCAGCTAAAATGTCTGTAAAATCTAGGCGTCTAGGGAAAGTGCTTCTCTTCCTGCATGTGGAAGAGGCAGCACAGAAATGAAGGGCTTCAGCACATACTGCTGAGGTTATACAGATAACCCCGTTTTCTGTGGACTGTTTCCACAGGCCTTGTATGGGAAGAAATCTTATTTCTCTGCCTGTGTGTGCGTCCTGTGGACGACCCGTCGAACCTTTCCTGTTACGTGGGTGACTGTGCACAGGTCATTGAGAATCAATCATGGGAAGCATTGCCAAACATCCCCAGGTGAGCTTACTTCCCTTCTATGGGGAGAATAAAGCCTAGTGTGTCTTTCTGAGAAGAATAATTGCAGGTCAGAGATTTTGCTCCCAGATGACAGGCTTTGCCTGAAAGAGTCTCGGCACTGCAGGTTCATGGGTCAAATGCTTTGATGTCAGGAGCGAAATGTTCTGTCATGAAATGCTAAAATCTCAGAACACAGTTTCACATGGAAACCCCAGCATAAAATGATCTCATGGATGACTTGTACGTATTTCTCGGAGTCAAAGCAAGAACAGTTTAGGAGCTGTAATTACAGGTGCGGACTGAGATCCTGTTGACTCGCTTTTAAGTGAACGAGAATCCAATCAGCTTTCCTAAAAGGGAATGTTTCTTCTTTCTGGGTGAGGAGTTGAGCTAGATTTCATTTTGGTTTATAGTGGTAGCCAAGAGCCCAACAGGCTTCATAACAAAATAAGCTGCTGCTGCTGCAAGGGGAGGCAGTGAGGTGATGTGCAACGCCCAGCTGCCTTCAGAGCTTGCAGGGAATTGAGTAAGCAAAGCATGAAGTGGGGGTAGGGTGCCTGTGTTAGCACCAGAGTTTTTCACGGAAATAGCTTTTCCTTCAGTGCTTTTCAAGAGCCTAAAGTAGCGTGAAGTTTAATCAGAAGGCACCAAAGTTTAAGCAGAGCCATAGACATTCTCTGCTCTTAAAGTTACAATCAACTATGAATTCTTTCTTAAACATCTAGTTTTATGTAACCTGAATAGCGATTGCACCCTGATGGTGTACCTCCGCTTATTGCTGCTGGAGTAACTGGTATCTGGCCAAAAGTTCCTGTCTACAAGGTCTCCTATTGAAATCTCATACCAATGTCACACAGTCTGCCCGGGAGGAAGGTGAGAGTACTGTTCCCTCTCCATAAAGATCTTAAGTGAGACAAGTAGGTCTAGCCTAGGGAGAGGACGTGCCTATTAATTAGCAGTAAACGCAGCAGTTATTTAAGCTCACGGAGAGGAGGTGGATGCTGGTTGCTCCAGAGAAATTGGTGGACTTCTTAGAGGTGATGGTGCTTGCTGATCTGAAACTTGCGTGGGATTTACCTCTGTTTGCATCCCTGCTGTGGTCACAGCATGGTTCATGCAGATGCCCTGTGAAACACCAGTGATGCAGTTTTATCTGCTGTTCAGAGGGGACAGGAACTGTGGGCATCTTGCAAATAAAATAGCATGGAAAGCAATACAGTAACACTGCTAGACCCCGTATCCTACTGAGCAGCAGGAGCTCTGCTACAGAGCGCCATTCTGAAGGCACCACAGTCTTCAAAGCTAGTAAGGGATGTCCTGCAAAACCAAGGCCCTTTTCCCTGCTCATAAACTTCAGTAAGAACATCCTGATGTTTTGTTTTCACCGTGGCAGGCTGAACGAGCTCCCAGTCTTCAGTTTCTCCAGTACGCAATAGATTTAAACGCACTTTCTATCATCTCTGCTTCTTTTTATATTCCACCTATACTGGGCTTCATTTAAAATGGGAAATACCTTGTACAACTTTTCATTTCTCAAGTTTCTTTATTTTTAAATCAATTTTACATGAATATATACTCTAAAATGTTCATTTTTCATCTGTCAAATAGAGTTTGAAAATTTTAAGATGGAATGGAATGGGCAGTTTTTCTTAGCAGATGCGGTAGTTCTTAGCTCTTTGAAAAGAATCCAGCATCTCTGTTAAAGTGTCCATATTAGCTATTCTGAGATCTTTTATACAGTGGAATGACCCCACATAACTTTATAGGCATATTATCCAGATATGTAATGTTTGTATCTACCATATCTGCAGAGTATTTTGAGTTTCTCCAAGTTAATGCCCACTAATAATGCATCAGAGTAAGTTGAAATGAAGATGGTATGATAGCGTGTGAATAGTTGCAGATAGTGCTTACCTTTCAAGTATTTAAACATGAGTTACATAATGAGTTTTGAGAATACTGAAATAGGTTAGTGTGAATTCTATTTGAAAAAGGCAAAATTACATTAGAACGTTAAACAAAAAGAAGAAATAGATACTATCGCTAAAACTTTGTAATAAACTTGATATACAAGTTTCGATTACAAGAGGAAACGTTTTTTAAGTAGAAGTGTTGTTAAGATACCTGGCAGTGCCAGGGCAATTTTTGATCTTGTATTGGAAAGTTTTTTTGTTATTTACATTAGAAATAGGGGCAGTTGGCGCTCTCAGCTTTAGTGGCTTTAAAGATCTCTGACAGGCTTTGAAGACATCAGGAAAATTTATCAAAGCCAGAGGTGATCAAACATTGATAAAAACCAAAGTGGAATGACAAAAAAGCCACAATATGTCTGTGTTTTGAAGAGCACAGATACTTTGCATTTGTATGAACTAGATGAACAGTTGCAAACACTTTTAAAAAAAAAAAATCACGAAAACCCAACATATTAATGGAAAATTTGCAAACAGACAAAAAAGGCTAAGTTGGTCACCTAACGGTGAATTTAATAAATCCAGATACTGATTTTGAGGTCTATGAGTAATAAGTTTAAATCCAAACAATACCTCGATTGACAGATGTATTTGTACATAATTGAAGAGTACATGCTTGTTATGTGGAAAGTTTTGTTTCCAGTGGAAAACAAATGAAGGATTTGAAGACAGGTAAATTCAGCTAAATCACTCCATATAATACTGTCTTCTGCTTCTCCTGACGATCCTAAATTCACAAAGAAAATACTGGATGTTCAGAGAGTTTCCAGAAATACAGAAGAAAGGCATGAATGAGTACTTTTCCTTTGGTTAAACAGACAAAAATGTCTAAAACCAAACAGTGACAGCTACTGTGTTCAGAAGGCTTAATCTTTGCCATATCTGATGTGGTACTGGGTAATGATTGTTTTGAAAAAATATTTGAATTTGAGGTTTACCAATGTGATTTCAGGATTTACTGTAAGCTTGGAAAAAATACCCTCCTGCAAATTGCTGTCAGCAAGGCACCTACCCTCTTGTATTCTTAAGGGGAAAGCCATCCCTTCCTCAACTGGCAAGCAGCATTCTGCGTCTATGGTTTTGCCCTCACATTTTTGTTTTTGATCTTATTGCCTAGTCATGTGTGTTTTCAGTTCATATTGCATGAAAAATGGGTGACTATCAGCATTTATTTCTGTTGTGGGGGAAGGCACAAGGAAAATGTACCTTGCCAACTCCAAATGCAGAATGAATGGAAGTGACCAGCAAAAGATTGGATGAGAACACAGAGCTGCATTGTTGTTCGTTGAACCCTTTCTTGCTGCCTGATGACCTGTATGAGCATTTGAGAGCCTAGACAACGTTATTCCTGTTTTATATTTAGTGTTTTTAGTTACTATTCTGAAGACACACCTGTGATAGTAAGACAGTTCCAGAGTTAAATTCATTCAGACAAGAATCAGTCATGCCCTTTGCCTTTTCCCTGTGTTCTTTAATTGCCTCTGCACACTTAAGCATCGTGCACCTTTCAAAGGCTTGGGGCTACAGGGTGCACAGGCAGGCTCATCTCACAGCATCGTTGCTGATCTGCAGCGGTGGGGCGTCTGCTCTCCGAGCAGCCCCCTCCCTACTCCTCTCGTGTTGCTGCAAGGACTATTCGGAGCTGGGGGAGGCAGCAGAGTCCACGTCTTCTGTGTCATGGTCATGCGGGGACACTGGCTGGCCACCTTTAACACGTTTCCACTTCATTCTTCTATTTTGAAACCATACTTTGACCTGGACAATAGAAAGGAAATATTACTTACTGCCTCAATTTCAGCTGTATAGGCAGACCCCCTTTATCTACGTGTATATTAATAAACAGATGTTTTGTGGAATTCTAGAACAGAAGGTGAAAAAGGGGTGTCAGAAGGTTAGCTAAGCCATCTCTAATGAAGGTGGGGACAATTCTCTCTAAACTGTTGTGGGCAGATGTTTCTGCTAGAAACCAGCCAAGGCAGAACAAGTGCTTTGCCTAGGATCCATCACTGTGTCAACTAATGTCAATTTAATGGGCGTGGTGCACCTAAATGCCTCTTAACATCCAGTCCATCGAATCTCATGTTTCAGCAATTGTAATTGGCTTCATTTAATTGAGCGATTCTTCTATTCATTAAGCTTTGATAAGGAAACCCTGGCTATAACAGTGGGAGAACAGAAATAGCTACCTCCACAAAACTCTGCATTTTTGTCTTCCCTTCTCCCCTCAAAATATTACATGACCCAGGAAGGGTGCAAGTTATTAAACATGTAACATTCAAATAATATCCTGGTAACTGGAGTCTAATAGGATATCCATAGTCCATCTGCAAGTCATAGCACATCAATATGTACCGAAGAGTGGTGACAAACAACAGCTCAGTAGATATCAGTCATTCCTAAATGTCTTCTGTAGTTTGAGTTAACAGAATTAATGTATTAACTAATTGCAGCAAAATTTAACAAATATACTTTAAAAGAATTTGGAAGTTTTGTATTAAAATACTTCTGTGCCATTACAAAAGTATACTCTTGAGCAACATATCTGTTTTATAGCATTAGGAAGAAATTGTGGGGAAGGGAGGAGAAGCGGGGTGTGGGGGGGTAGGGGTTCAGGAATTACTTGTCTCTCAGTGAGATCCAGGTTCACAGCTATCTCGTATCTCCTAAGCCTTGTCAGGTAATTATGGTGGGCAAATTCAGCTTCCAACTCCCGTAGCTGCTCCTTAGTGAAAGCTGTCCTTTCCTTCCGTGATTTGCTGCTTGTTTCTGGCTTGTTGCTTGAGTTCTGGTTTTCTAAGAGGCAAGCACACATATTGTGTAATTTGCAGTTACATCGATCTATGCGGACAGATATGTGCATTGTAGAGGTCTGATGTAACCACTGATGAAAGTCCTAAGTGTAAGTGTATGTTAGTTTAAGAAGCTTGTTTCATGCTCCCTCGAGCTTGGTTCAAGGGGACAAAGCTGGGACAACTAAGGGTAGGGAAGGGCTGCATTGTCAAAACTGCAGAAGCACAGACCTGGGTCTGCAAGCCAGAACTGTGCAGCTTTGGGAAGGAAGTTCTCACCTCCCTTGTGATCATTGCATCTAGATGGTACCATTAGTAGTAGTCATCTTTCCCCACTTTTATTCCATATACATGTATTAGCTCTCTCCCCTGATACTGGCTGCTGCATCACAGTCACTGCTGAGCAACTGGCAGCAAAGCCAGCACTTTGGCACGTGCGTGACGTGTGATGAGCCTATGGTGACCTCCGCTGGTGCAGGGGTAAGGCAAAGCCGCTGAGGAAGCACCCTGGGCTAGTATATGTTTGGGGAATATGATGAGGGCAGAGCAAGGAGAAATGACCGAGAACAGAGCAGCAGTGTTCCTGAATCAGCACTCTCTCCTCCCGACTTTCAGCTTCTTTGAATCCTCACTGAAGGAAACTTGTAAGGGGACCTGGGAGCTGTGTGCATGACTGGCCTCAGTGTCATCCTTGTCACTATGCTGCCTTGAAATACTTTTTTTGCTGTCTGTGCACTTAGTTGCAATGCGGCTGGAAAAGTGACCATTTCTAAAGCCAAATTTCAAGTCATAGCCGGAGGGATGCTATGCCAACTCTGCTAAGAAACAAACACAAACTGACTTTGCCTGAGACTGTGGCAATTCCCC